TCAGAGGCCGCGCGCCCCCGCCAGGAGGCGCCGTGTCCATGGCGACGGCTGGAACGCGCGCGCGGCCCCGAGCGGGGACCCGAGCGCGGCCCCGAGCGGAGACCCCCGGGTCATGGGCGGGTCCGGCCGCCGCCGCCGGGACAGTCCCACGGGCCGAGCGCCGCCGGTCCGCCCGCCGCCGCCCAGAGCCCTCCCGCGGAGCTCCCGTTCCTGCCCGCGGGAGGCGAGGCGCCGGAGCCACCGCCCCGAGACGGGGGATCCATCCCGCTGCCGGCCGCACGGGCGGGACCGGCCCGCTCCCCCCCGCTGGTGGCGGCGCCTCCCGGGCGCGGTGCTGGGCGGGCACCGGCCGGGCCGGCCCCGGGCCGCCCCCGGCTCCGCCCCGGGCCGGGCTCCGCGCTCGCGGCTGGGGAGCAGCGCCGAGCTGAGCCGGGTCTGCCCAGCGCCGGGGCACCGAGAGCGGCAGCGCAGCCCCGGGACGCCGACCAGGTGGGTCGGGTCGGGCCGGGCCGGGCCGGGCCGGGGAGCGCCGGCCGCTGTGGCTCCGCAACTCTGGGTGGGTCGGGCGGTGTTGGGGGTGCTCTGGGGGGCTGGAGGAAAAGCGCAGTGTCCCCGGTGCTGTCCGGGGTCGGGGCATCCCCCCGGGACCCTGCCGGGGTCTCGGTGGCGGTTCTGGGACGTCGCTTGCCGGAGAGCTCTGCTCCGGCTGCACGGTGCGCTCCGCTTTATGAAAGGAGAAAACCACAGCCCTTGGGCCGTGCCCCTTTGCCAGACTGCGAAGTTGAGAGCTTGAGCAGTGTTTTATGAAGAGAGTACGGAGACTTTTCCCGACCAACAGACCCGGGAGTAAACTATAACCAAATGCTCAAATGTAGCACAGGAAAATTTTCGACACATCTGGAGTGATTGCTATTTTTCCAGAGAATCCCGGGGTAGCTATGAGAAAAGACTCTAAGCCTTGCTTTGTGTGTGTGTGTGTGTGTGTTTTAGACAAAGACTTGGAAGTCACAGCTTGGATCTCACATTAAAAAATAGCTCAGGATCTTTGAAATTTTTTTTGCCTCAACACAGCTACGTTTCGGATTTTGTTTTCTTACAGGTAACTTTTTACTGTTTTCTTTACCCGTTTCCAGTTCTGTACCTGTGGTTATGTTAACCACTGACACTTTAATGAGAACTCATGGGGACGTTGGATACACTTTCCAGTTAGCCTGGGTGAAGCATGGTACTAAGAATTTCTCTCCACAGGCTTGCAGTGCAGAGGGATGGCATGTGCCAGGGTTATGTATCTTCATGGGACAGGATTTGATACTGAGGTCTCTTTACTTAAATCTGAACTTGCTATGTTTAGTGTTTCCCGGTTTTGAAAACGATAAAGGAATCTTCCCAAAGTAGAAAACCTATTCCTAGGAGCAGAGGGAATGGCGAAGCTCTGGTGGATGCAGCATCCTGGTGGCAGCACACACCTCTAGGGAAGAGCGTAGGGACATTCCTTTTACTTTTCTGACTCCTCTACCAAGCATTAGAAATCTGTGGCTCTCCTAGCTGCCCAGGTGTTGAAACTGCCTAATTTCCCTGATTTGCTTTGTCAATATGTGGTTTAACTTCATGATAGGCAGAGAGGAAAGAGGAAGTCTGACATTTCTCCTATCTTATTTTTGTGCCACCCTCTTTCCTTTTCCTAATATGGCGACTGTATTGTTCCCTTGCTTTTCTTGCTGACCACTTCCTTTGAGGCATAGAATTATCAGTTACCAGCTCAGTCTTACCCAGCTTAGTCTGTAATTTTGTACACTTTTAAAAATGGTGGCGTAGCACAGGAGACAAAGATATAGGTGATACGGTTAGTTGTGGGCACTAATTATAGCAGATGCTCTAGAGCAAAAGGTATGTTTTGGAATATGAACTCCATAAACCTGTGCATAGGGAGTGGTGGGACACACTGAAGGCAGGGCAGCATTTAGAAAGAGCCAGAATTCCCTAGCAGGAGGCCCTGTGAACTTTTCCATGATCTCAGCTTCTGGAGCATCCCTGTCTCTCTGTCTTGGATTTTTTGGGGTAAAATCTGCCCTTTTCCCCTGCCTGCAGAACAGCATCTGAAGAGCTGAGCTGTGAGTAGAGAGCTGAAGGTGACTGTGGTTCCCCAGGCTTTGGGAGGACAGGAGGTCCCTGCTGTTCCAGCAGTGCCCTCAGCTCAGCTCCTGGTTTGCACTGTGGCTTCTTCTAGAGCAGGTGCTGGAACATCCCTGCTCTCCCAGAACACAGCTGGCACTAGGATAGCTCAGCTTTCCCAAATCATCCTGGGGAGTAAAGGCAGGAGTCTCTTTCTCGTCTGCTGTCATCACGATGTCCTTGATGGCACATGGGTTTTTGTCTGTAGTGTCCCAGTCTTGTATGACCGTAGGCAGTATTCACTAGTTGTCAGTTGATTTCTGAGGGGTATGACTTTAGCCATATTCTTTTCTGACTTTGGACACAGCAGCTTCAAGACTGAGGTGAACCCTTAACTAATGGAGCCAGAAAAAACTTCCCTGTGGGCAGGTTACCAGAATTCCCAGTGCACCAACTTTGGAAGCACTGGGTTCTGTTCCCAGCCAGGACTTGCTTGCTCTATTGCTTGCCTGATGAGGTAAGATGCTTTCTGCTGTGTTCCTAATTGCAGCTGAGTTTTCTGCTGTTACACAGTTGACTGGTGTTTGAAATGCCAGCAGAAAGGTGGAAAAAATTGATTACTCTCAATGCCCAAAGTGTTTCCAACACCCTCGCCCTTAAAAAGGACTTTTGTGGTAATTGCAGCACTGATGCACAAGATTGTTTTGGTGGTGCACTGGGATCCTCATGGATGTCTGTAGAATTTTTGCTGCCTGTAGCTTACACGAGGCTGTGCTTGATGAGCCACAGTTGCAGCAGTAACCTTGGGAGAGAGGCACGAATTGAACCTTGTCACTCTGCTTCACCTTTTGTGTGATAAAGAAGGTACCCAGAAAACTGAGGTCTGAGTGCTCTGAATTAAAGCCAAACCTCTTAACTGGACAAACAGCTCCATAATTCCTTTTAATTGCTCAAATAAGAGATCATTTCTGGTGTTCAGTATCCCTGGTTGACATGTGCTGTTCTTGGATTGCCCGTGCCCAGGTGCTCTGGCAGGAAGGTGTTGCCAGTGATATTTGCAGTTTTGCTCAGAGTGCAAGTGGTTCATTCCTTAGGGGACTTTGGCTGCTTCTGCTGAAATAGGTGCAATTTCTATGACCAAACCGGAAAAATTCAGGGAGAGCTTCACAGTGTTTTGCCTTGGTGATGTCATCAAAATAAATTTAAACATTTTACTCAGGTGGGGTTTTTTTCAAAAGGAGAGAATAGCTATAACCCTAAATACCAGCTGTACCTAGGAAAGAGAGAAGACCAGTTGTTAGGGGGCAGAGAAGCTTTACCAGTGGTATTTAATGTTCAGATTACTATTACCAAGAGTTTTAGGGTCACTTTTAAAGTGAGGTTGTGGACAAAAGGGCCAAGCTGCACAGACTGTCCCGCAGGCACTTGCCAGCAAGGAGGGGGCATTTCCCACAAAGGCTGGGGTGTGTTTACTGGACTCTGTCTGCTCTGAAGTGGGGAAAGGAAAATACTTCATTCTGTGGAGATGCAGTTGCTGAGAAAAGTCATTGGTCTTTGTTTCTTCTCTTCCTTCCGTTTTGCTCTGGTTTTACCAGGTGTAAAATACAATTGTCAGCAGTTTACATGGAAAGGGAACGTCAGTTTTCCTGTTGAAGAAAATATCAAGGGTCTGATTGTGAAGGGAAAGGGGAAATTGAAGAATGCCACATGGCTTCTACCTTCCTGTATTTCACTCCAGCAGAACTGCCTCTGCTGAGTGACCACTTTATCTGTTGATACTTGCTAAATGAAGAACGATTTTAGCAAATGATTCTGCCCTTACTCACAGGGGCACACCAAAACAATAATATTACTCTGGGAGGAATCCTAGACACGTCCATTAGGGCTAAATTAATAGTTAAGAATTATTTAGTAATGTCTTAACACAGAATCCAAAGAGCAATGGAAAAAAAATCTTGAAATTCATGTTCTTAGTGTAGTCTCACCTTGACTTGATTTGGCCTGTGGTCATCTGATTGTTAATACATTTCATTTTTTATTTGCCTCTGAATATGTTACTGTAGATCGTCCCACAGTTGCAAACGGCAGAGTTCTTTTATGTGAAGTATTTTGAACTTCCCAAATACAAAAAAGAAAATTAAATCAGCAGCATGGCTAGATAATAATTCTGGACCTTCCTGATTGGTCTCATGGCTGGAACAGCAGTTTGTTGATGTTTATGGTCAATCTGCCCAGTGCCAGTTCTGCTCAGGAGTATAAATTATCTTCCAGCACCAACCTGGTGCTGATGCCAAGGACATGATCTTGACTGCTTCCTAACTTAGCTTTGAACATCTGAGCTGTGAGGAACGAGGAATGTGCTGCATCTAACCTGGAGCTGTTGGCGGCCACCAATGTCATGAATCCAGTGAGTGGAGAAGCCAGCGCAGGTGACTGGACAGCTGGAGCTGTTTTCTCTACCCAGGAGGGGCAAAGAGAACTCTGAATAGCTCAAGGAAATGCTTGGTGTTGTTTGAACAGTCAGAGACCTGCTTCCCTAGTGCTTCCTTCAGCACATGTTACACTTGACCCTGCCAGCACTACACACCAATAGGAGTCAAGTCTTTATCCCCAGTGGTAGATTAAACTGCTTGGCCATTGTTGTGAGTCCAAGATTTTCCTCTCTCACCCTGTTTAAATGACTGCTTGGATGTGCAGCCAAAGTAAATATGAGCTAATAAAAACTAGAGATAACACATGCAGACTAGTTGTTACAGACTAACTGTAGCACAAAGAGGCACAAGTTTTGCTGGCAGCTTTTCTGCTTAAGTTTTGAAGCTCAGTTACCTGAAAAAGAGTTGGTATGGATGAAGTATAACTTCCTTTCTATTGCAATAGGGGAACTTTATCTGTATTCATGTCAATCTTCAGAATAAAAAAGGCATCTGTTAGGCTGCTGAGGCTCTAGTGCCTGCCTTGCAAGGTATAGTGCACCAGCCCCAGGTGAGCACTTCCTGACCTGAAAGCTGGAAGTGCTGTGGCAGGCTGTGCAGCTTTGGAGTACTCTTCTGTATTTCCCCACAGTCACTTTCCTTGTTGGCAATAAATGCATTTTGAATTGACTTTTCAGTTCCTCAGCACACAGCCTGTGAGGGCCACTGCCATAAGGTAGCACTGAGATCTGTAGTCTGCTAGGGGTTGGAAGGATAAGACATATTTACGTGGCTCTTGGAAGTGCCCTGGCTTACAGTAAAGAATGAGATTGGGAGAGTATCACTGTGGAGGGACAGGAATAGGATTGCCCCTGTATTCCTGTGATGCTGTTGGACACCTGAGTTTCAGATGGTGCTGAAGTGAAGAGCTGTAATTGTGTGGGGATAAGGCCGTTTTTAGTGCCTGTATGTTACCAGCACACATCTCCCTGTGTGTCTGGAGAGGGCTGACCTGCTGAAGTCCTTCTACCTTGGCTTTCTTTGCTTTTCCCTTCCTGAGGCCTTTGGCTCTGGAGGGACAGTGTGGTCCTGCACCCTGTCCTTCAGACCCCTCTGCAGTGCAATGGTCTGTGGTGACCAAAAGGTTAGAGAGAACTGAGGGCTGAGAGTATGATATGGCATTAAAGAATTAATGGCTACCGAGCAATAATTACCATAAATTATGCAGACTAAGTCCAGATCTAGGAACAGTTTTACTTCTTTCATTCCAAGCCAATCATGGCTTATGCTGACAGCACACCTGGAAATGAGGTAACTGAGTAATCTGCCCACATTGTTCAGATCTGCTGGGGCTTGGGCACAGACTTAGTATGTGTTTTCCCTGCTCCTGGGCAACCTTTGTTCTCCTGCAGCCAGGAAGTCTCCCTGATGGGATAAGACAAGGTGCTTGTGTTCCTTTCTTGAGAAGGACGCTGTTAATTCACCTGTGCTGTGACTTCCCTATGAAATTCCCTTTCCAGATGAGAAAATTTCACTGTCATTGCAGTATGAGATGGAAACACTTCCAGTGCTGCCTGAACATGTTATTTAGGTCAGTTGCAAGAAGGATGGCAACATGAATCAGAGGAGTTGGAAGAGAAAGAAAGTCATTAGACAGCACCTTGACATCCCCTGCCAAAGCGGGGATTTTCTCTGCTGACGCAGAAGCCTGGCTGGAGCACACATTCATTGTCTTGTGCTCTTGGTACAGTCCTGTGGCTGGGGAGCTGGCAATGAACCAGCAGGCTGCAAAGACAAACCTTGCCTTTGCCCCTCTGTATCAGCACCTAGATCCTGGTGGGTGAATAAAATAATCTCTGAAAGAGAGATAACAAAGTCTCCTCCTTATCGCTCTGGAAAACAAGATCAGGATCATTGGCCTGGCTGCCTCCATTTTGGCTGAATGAGCCTCCAGAAGGGGGTTTTACACAGGCACATTCATCGTGTTGTTGTAACCTTGACCAGAGCAGCTCAGAGGGTGTTCCCATCCCAGTAAAATGGGCGTGTGGTGCCCAGTGCACTACAGCAGCTCCGGGAGAATCCAGCAGAGCCAATGGCCTCAGTGTGCTGGGCCAGCTTTGGCTTGGAGGGCTGTCAGTGATGGTGGGAAACCCCTGAAAATATCCCACCGGCAGAGCTCTGCCAGGCACTCCGTTTCCCTTCCCAAAGGAAGTAGCCTGAATTTACCCAGTGCTCTGTGGAGACCTGTAGGCTAAAACAAATTATTTTTACACTGTAGGAAACATTGAGACCAACCTTAACTGATGAAGCAATTTGCCAGCTTTTAGCCTCAAGGTCCCTAGTCCCTCAGGGCTTTCCAGCATAAGGCTTGGGTCGGTTTCCCAGAAAGAGTCTCTTGGATATATGCTGTTGGCTCATTACTAGCTATTTTATTTTTCCAAGAGCCAGCTCTCCTTAGCTTCGTTCTCACAGCATTGTTTTCTTTCTAGAAGAAGCTTTTGCTGGCTCTCCTAAACTATTGCATGGGAATTGCTTACTAGCTTACATTTTTTTTGTTTGTTTTGACCCAAAGCTGTGCTTTGCTCCCCTCTGTAACACTGCCAGCATAATTTCCAGTCTCTTTTAAGCATATGTTTTGCAATAATATCTAAAGTCTTGGCTCCAAGTAACTGCCTTACAGAGAGATTAGTATCTTCTAACGAAGGAATTGAGAGGCAAATAGTGAGAACAAAAGCAATATCTTGAGAGCCTGTAAGACTATCCTGACCTTTCCCAAAGGCCTCAGCCTGGCCCTCAGTGTTCAGCAGATGGCAGAAATCAGGGTGTACTTTGATTTGTAGAGGCCTCTGCCTTGCTGCTGTGTTTGCGGGAAATGTGCTCAGCACATTGTGGCCATCTGGGCTTGACTGTACTATTCTGATAATCCCCAGGGAGCCTTCTCCAGCAAAGCTCATCCCTGATGGAAGTCCTCTTTGGCTGACCTTGTAGAAGGCTAGTACTAGCAGCGTGGATTTTTGAGATTTGACAGCAGCGTTCCTTATAGGAAGAAAAGGGGCTTGGGAAATGCTTTGTCCTGGCCAGGAAGGAACATGCCACTCACCAGGTATCCACGTGGGCACACAGCTGGAATTGCACAAGAGAGAGAGGACGTTAGTGTTAACATTTTCTAAACTTCAGGAGGAAGTGTTACAGGGATGCAAAGGCCATCAGAAAATCAACTGGAAAATTGCCTTGCTTTAGATGGGAGAACCAGATGTGGGAGTGTTGAACCTGGAGCTGAGAGTCTCAAAATTGCAAGGGAGCTGAGTGACTGGCCACTCACAGGGAGACAAGAGTCAGATGAGGGGGTCCTGACAGGAGCTGGAATCTTCATCTGGATCTAAATGAAGGTCTGCTTTTCAGAAGAACTGAGCTGGCTTTACCTGAAATCAAAAGAATGATTGGGTGCTCAGCATCCCTGGAACTGAGATGTCAAAATATAGGCTGCCAAATTCAAGAAATAAGTAAAGAACAAAACCAAACCCTCTCCCAGGCCGTGTCCTGAGGCTGTAACTGCTCAGTCTCAGATATTTAGCATTTCAGGTGTGGGAGGGTGTATGGCTCTTGAGTGGCCAATCCCACAGGCAGTGCTGTCACCAAGGAGCAGGATGTCTGCCCTGCCCTTTGCACTGTGCATCCGGCAGTGTGTGCCTGCAGACCCGTGTTTGCCTTGAAATCACACCCACCCTGCTCTTGACCCACCCACCGTGGGCTGTTGGACCTGTGGCACCCATTCTGCTCCCTCCTGCCTGTCCCTGGCTATCCTTAGTGACAAACCTCAACCCTTTTCCTTTTGACTTTTCAGCTGTGCAGTGTGTAGAGCTTGCTCCAGGCTGCTTGTGAATCAAACTCCCGGGAGAGTTTGTGTGGTGGTGCCACAGAGACTCCTCTCCACGTCTGTCCCGTGGCAGTTTGTCCCTGTGTTGCCCAGGCAAAAGGGACTCTCCTGCCTCTCCCGGCTCTGCTGGCCAGCCCTCGTCAGCCACACTCTTGAGAAATCTTAGTGGAGATGTCGACCTGGCAGATGGAGGCTGTTACCTCATTCCACAAAAATGCTTTGTTATTGAGAAAATGGAAACTGTCTGAGGTTTGGGAACTGAATAGAGTCATTGGTGTCTGTTTTAACCGCAGTTTAGTGGTGACTGCTCAGAAGTTCCGCTCTCTGAGCATTCCCTTTTCCTACACCCATAATCTTCCAGCCATTGGAGAGCTAAGATAACTTAACTCATTAACTGAGCAAAAAATGTTGAATGCTATTGCCTGCTCTGCAGAAACTTCACTAAAACCTCAGCATCTTCCAGCAAAACAAAAATGATGAGCCAAGAAATAACCCTTTGCAAGCTGTTGGCCACAGAAGTGATCCCTATGGATACTAAGCCAAATTCAACCCTTTTTACGATTTCAGCTGTGTGTCTTGTTTACTTGACTTTGAAAAGCTCTATGCAGGAGAAGATTATGCAGGAACTTCTTGGAGAGAAAAGACATGCTTGGAGACTTAGGTCTTGTAATTCTTAAACACGGATATATGAACCCCAGTCCTGAAGATAAATTTCTTTTCATCAGTTTTTAAAAGCAGATTTCAGCATTGTGGATTTGAGAGCATAGGAGAAAGACTAAAAATAGGGATTGAAGTGTTTGCAAGCTAGTTTTTATATTGCTGTGAATAATGACTTGAGTTAGTCCAGAAGAGCAGTAACCTAAACAGAGGCCTTGTTTTACTTAACAGATATTTGTGAAACTGGCATCTGATACCTCTTTTTGAGAACCTTCCATAAGCATTAATCACCAGCACCCTAAGAGAACCAAGAGCAGCAGCTTTTTGGAAATAAAATGAACACTTTATTTATGTATTTTTAAACTAATTAATCTTGGCAGGCCAAATGAATGTCTTCCAGCTGCTACAGATGGTTTTCACATGACTAAATATTTTGGTGTGTAGAAAAACCTAGAATAGTGGAACCACAAGATATTAAGTATTTAATTATTATCCTGGAATGTAAATATGACCTTGATATTTTAAATTTGTTTGCCGAAATTTCAAGTGTTCTCTTAGAAATCCATCAAACAATACAGTTCTGATCTTGTTATCTGTGAAGCAGAGTGACCACTCAGCATCTTCTCCAAATTTATTTAAATATCAGAGTGGGTCTTAGCAACAGGAATTTGCTTAACTGGAGGAATAATCCCAGCTGCTTGAGGCAGAACTCTCAAGCAGGGGATCAGGGTTTGAGATTTAATGGACTCGTTCTGTTCTAGGTCCCTGCTTTCAGGTTTAGCCATAAAAATACTTTCTAGGCTCAGCTCTGCCTGTTAAGGTCTTAAGGAGGTTTTTTAATATAAAATACAAAGTTTAAAAACAATTAGCAGTTGATTTTCAGCCTGTGTCTTACCCATTTAGAACGCATTCTGGCCATGTGTTGTTGTAGCTGTAAAACAACCTTATTTCTTGAATGATCCAAGCCCACAAGATTTTCCTCATGTGAGTGTGTCAGAGGTAATTTCTGTTGTGCTTCAGGTCTGTGTGGATGCAGATCATACACAACCTGCATGTACACTCAGGCTTCTTGAAAAAAACGTCTTTTTGTAATTCTTCTAATGAAACAAAAGAAAGGGAATCATATAAAATATGTATCTGAAAGGCTTAGCCTTCAGCGTGGTTGAAGACAAAAATTCCTCTCTGAGGTCCTCACCTGACATTGTTCCTGGATATTGTTCAAGATGGGAAGACAACAAAAAAAGAATAGCAACAAAAACCATGGGTCCTAAGGATTGTGTCAGCATCATGAGCCCCAGTATCAGCCTAAACTCCTGACTTTTCCCAGTCTTTTGACCTCACCTTGGAATTCCACTGCTCTCATTTAAGGAAAACGTGGCTTTTTCCTTTCTTAAAATTTTGACCTGGTGCTGCCCTATTCCAGTTGTGCCTGCCAGCTCAGCCTGCTCGCTGCTAAACCCCCAAGTTTAAATAGCAAGAGCAGCCAGCAGAGGCATGGTGTTGGTTGAAAGATCTGGACCCTGGATTAGCTGTGCTCTGTAACAGCACAGCACCGTGTCTGTCTGTTACAGGGTTGGAAGGGACCTTGAAGACCACGTCCCTTTCTTCCTCCTCCCTTTTCTCCTGCTTCTCACAGAGTTAGGGTTGTGCAATGTATAGGTGCAGGTCTGTAACACACGTTAGGGGGTGTCACAGTTTCCACTGACAGGGATACGTGCTGCATCTCGGAAGGAGAATAAAGATGGAACTTGGATCTTGGTTCCATTTTTAGTTCTACAGGCTTTGCCTAGTGCCAGAACCCTCTGAGGTACAAATCCCAGGAGAGATATAGCATTACTCCCTGACCTGCAGGTATTACAAGGGTAAATAATATTTTTGCTGCTGACAGCTGTTAGGGAATTGAGGAAGTGATGAAACTGAGGACTTTTTGCATTAATGATCTTGCACTGGATCATCACATATGTTTGTGTTACTGGCAGTAGAGAGTCAGGGAGCTAAACTGCTTCCCAGGTAAATCTTTAGTTTGTGTCCTTAAATTTGGATTATTCTCATCTGCCTCTTTCCTTGGCACATGGACATTTTCAAAAAGAAAAGTCAGCATTTAAATCTAAAGGAATTTCAGTGGCTCCTTTTAACTTGCTGAACAGTTAACATCAAGAAAATTGCTGTTTGCTTAACTCAGAACATTCTGGAATACATAGACTAGTAGTGGTACTCACCAAGAGTCATTAAAAGCAAAAAGTGCACAGCATGTTTTGCATCTATCTCAGCCAAGAGAAGTTTTATTTCTGCTATTTCTCAACCCTATGCAAACACCATATAACTCACAGAAAGATTAAATCTGGCCCAATGTGCATGTGTAGAAGTCTTGGATGTGTTGCTTTTGGAGAGCCCAGAGCTGAGTGTGGGAAATCATAACTGCACGTCAGGTTGGTGAAGGTGCACGGGTTGTGTTGTGCTTCATGAAGTGTGAAACAGCAACAACTACAGGGTGATGAAGTAATGCTTTCAGGTCCTTGATAGTTTTGAGTTTTTATTTTAGAAGATGTAGAGCACAACTTTGAATAAAAATGGAAGAGGGCCATGAAGAGACCTTGAATAACAGGGCCCCGAGGAGATCACACTGAGCCCTTCAAGTGTCAATACAGGTTCTGCTGCTCACCTTGTTAGCACCTGACTTGGTAATTCAGGCTAATAATGATGTTCATGAGTTTTTCACTTTATGTTAGGAGTTTTGCTTATTCTCTTTTGGTTTTTTTCTGTCATCATGACATTGAGCAATAGAAAGGCTTTGGAAGTAAAATATGTCTACACGACACTGGAATCATGTCTCTTGTGAAAATTTAGAGTAACTTATTGCAAGTGTCCGATTTCTAGTCACAAGTAATGACATTTAAACCCCTTTTGGAAATACAATCCCTGTGCTGATGTCACCCTTGGTTTATGATGTGACTGCTTTTGTTGCTGGACAAGCACTTGAGTGTTTGCTAGTGAAGTGATGATTTACTCCTGAGAGTGCCTGGCCGTGGCACCTGCTGTAGCTGACTGTGAGGTGGGGGCTGGAGGAGCACCCTGGCACAGCTGGGCTCGTGCTGCTCCATCGCTTTCAGCAATGCAAGGTAACAGAAATTGGGCTGAGCTTTTATTTCTGGGCTTTGCCAGTTTGGGACGAATGGCTTGTAAATGGAGCACTTTAATTCTGATCAGTTTGAGAGCAGAGGGAGAGTTGTGGACATTGCAGCAAAGCCCCTGATCCTCGGGCTGCTTGAGCGTGTGAACAGCTTTGGGAACTTTTTCCCAATAGTCAGAGTGCACGTTGCTGCTGCTGCCATCAGCATCAATGAGTGTGGAGCACCTTCCCTGCAGCAAAGAAACGAGGCATTGCTTCAAATGCTGCTTCAAGGGCTGAGACAGCAGCTCTTCTTGGTCTTCAGCTGAAAGCTGCCAAGAGAAGAGATTCTGTTAGTGAAAATTCTGGTCTTTCTGATCCTTTTTAACCTGTGAAAGATGTTTCATGTAGGTTTCCTTATAAATCTCAGATGGGAATGAGAGAATGAGGTTCTGTAAAG